ATCAGGATCAGGAGGTGGCAGGGCTGGGCCTGCAGCCCAAGTCTCCCAAAGCTGATTCCTGAGCACTGTTAGCCCACCAGGCAGCCTCTTTCTCAGGATGAGGGTCTGTGGCTCTGTCGACCTTCTGATACTTGCTTATGTTGTGGGAGTGGGTCCTTAAATCCAGCAGTTCATAGCCGTCCAGGCCCACTGTGAGGCCCTATCCCGCGGAGAAACCACCGTGGAGGCTGAGAGAAAGAATGCGCCATTGCCGAGGCTGGTCTCACTGTTAAGCGACAATGAAGTTTTCCAGAACTCTGTCAATTGAGTTCACTTAATCCCATGACAGAAGGGGCCCAGGCCTCCCACCTTCTTATCTGGTTTCAGAGTCAAGGAGCTCAGACGGAGGGGCCTTTCTGAAAGGAGGGACCACCTGGGAAGACTCCATTTGCTCAGTCTACATCCGGCTGCTGCTCACTGTCCCCTGTGTGAACCCGGGGTGGGATGGAGTGAGGGGCAGCGTGGCAGTACCCACTCTCACCAGCCTGGAACGACCGTCCCACCAGTGCTTCTGCAGTGAGCAGAGTTTCTGAGCCCTCTTCTTAGCAGAGAGGCTCTGAAAAGTGGCGCTCATCTTCCCAAAGGCCCAGCAGAACACTCGCAGGAGGTCAGATTCTGGGAACTGACTTCAGGGTCCCCAGAATGTCACAGCCATCTCCATGACCCCTTATCTGCGTGCTCTGGGGAAAATGTCTTCCACAAGACACTAGATACTAAAGTGGGCACGGAGTCTAGGTTGTCCAGCAGCGTCCCAGTTTCTACCTGTTCTGGCATAATTATTAATGCTACCGTCTTTCACTCTCAAGGGTATCCTGGTTTGGACGACAACAGAAACAGATTCATGTGCCCACACCCTCCGCTCTGTAGCTACCAGGGAGAAAGACAAGCGTTATATGTGCGTGAATGATGTGTTTCCCATTGGCAAAAAAATGCATCTTTTCCATCCCTTATGTCTGCTGTAGTTAGAATGATCAAAGATATGGAGTATTTCTCAAAGAAAATGTTTCAGTGTCCAAAGATCGCCCCTTCCCCATCCCCCAGGAGGTGGGGTGTGCATAGGCAATGACAGGCGGACTTGCTGCTTGCAAGCCTTGGGTTTGCTTTGGCTAGGCTGTAGTTTTCCTTACAGCAGCAAAGATGGGTGGCAGTCAGTGCAGAGACTAAGAACATAGACTTTGGAACGGAATAGAAATAACGTAGAGTCCTTGAGCAAGTCACCTATTTCTCTGTACCTCGATTATTTCAGGTAGGAGCAGTTATACCAACATCCTAGCCTTGTCTTGGGGATGAAACAAAATATGGAATGCACCTGACCTGGTGCCTGGTTTAGAGGAGATACTCAGCAAGGTGTGGCTATGGCTAGAGTTGCCTTCGGTGATGGAAACCGTTTGTTAAAGTGGGGAGGATGGGCTAGCCCATGACATCAGAGTGCCGGCCACCACTGTTTCAGCTTTGCTGTTCCACACGGCAGAGGAATCTTCTCTTTCAGTTTGCCCAGGCTCAGCGGTGAAGGCTGACTGGTAGTTCAGCGTGTGTGCTTTGAAGAGGCGACATTGCCCTTTGCTGTTTGGAGAACAAGAGGAGATGAAGGATATGGTGCAGGTCATTCTTTTCTCCTCTCACTTCTTTCCTCTCCCTCTGCTTCTCCATCTCCACACCCCCAGCTCAGTCTCAGGCCCTAGAGATGTCAGGAAGGAAGAGGCATTGCACCAGATGCTGAAGCAAGGGCTCCCCAGGGCCACTTTTCCTCTCCTGGCCTCCCACTAGGCGTGCCACAAGGGAAAGCAGTGGAGCTGCAGGTGAAGCGCAAACCGGCTCGGTGTAATGACGACATCGGGGCGGGAGGAGGCCGGCCCGTCCCCATCACCCACCGCAGCTGGCTTCCACTACCATGGGAGCTCTGAGGAAGGAATCTCCTTGTTCGTATCTCAAATAACCAAAAGGTGCTCCGGCCCACCCAACAGGCCAGGGTGTTATTACTATTAATTTTTTTTAATCCATTATTATTTTTTTAACAGAGACAGGATCTCACTATGTTTCCCAGGCTGGTCTCAAGGCCCACCTTGGCCTTCCAAAGTACTGGGGTTACAGACATGAGCCACCCTGACTGGCCTGATGTTCATCTCTATTCCAGGCCCTGGGGTCACTCATGCAGGAGCAGACTCCCTAAAAAATGCTGCCTCTCCCTAACAAAAGTTAAGAGTATGGAATCCCCAAGTCATTTAAGAGCAGATCATTTGACACCCCAGCCGGGCTGACTATGGGCTCCCACCTACCTGTCATGGCTTTGGGGCATTGTATGATGTGCTGAGGCCTCTCCTCCTCAGGGGGGCCAGGACCCTGTTCACATTTTTCACACGCAGCCTGCACTGGTGCAGGGAGCGGGGAGGTGTAAAGCGGCACCAGGAGGTGGAGCAAGCCATCTGACTTCCTCCTTGACCAGCCGCAGGCCTGATCCCCATGGGACTCTAAGTCAGGCCTGTCCTTTGAGCCTAGGGGATTGGGGCAGAACCAAAGGCTCACAGCCCTGAGGTCACCCCCCTCACCCAGGCTCAGTGGTCCTTCTCCCTAGCGAACTGTGAGACGCACCGCATACGTGAGGCATTCCTGTGGTCATTTGTCAGAAGAGCGGACTGGGAGGGGAAAATCAAAAACTCGGTAGAACAAGAGATAAGGAGAGGTCAGTGGGATCGGGAGCGGGGATTTGGAAGGGAACCCTGGGTCACGGAATCCTCCTAGCCTTCTTGAAAATGAAAAGTATCTTCTGAGACAACGGCCAGAAGGACCTTCAGATGTCCTCAAGTCCAGCCCACCCCTTGAAGCTAAATGGCTCTGAAGCCAGCCCTGCCTGACAGCTACGCACTGTCTGGAGAAGACAATGATATGAGCAACCTGAGCTGCAGAGAAGGAGCTCTCTGGGAACCTGAGGGCCAGGAAGCTCCTTGTGCTGTCTTGCCCTGATCTTCAAGCAGTGGTTTATCCTGCAGGAAGATCAGGGGTTAACCCTCGCCTTCCTCCGGTCTTCACTGAGGACGTGAGCACTGCCTTGTCTCTCACTCAGCCTCCCTCCGATCTGCTCAACGTGGGCACACAGACTTGCCCCAACCTCCCGTCTTTGGCTCCTGGTACTGAGCTGTCTCAGCCCCAAAGCTTAGCAGCTGGTGTTCCTTAGCTTCACACCTTCGTTGTACGACCTCATCTCCCCCAATTTGAGATTGTGAAACTGGACTCAACGGGAAGAAATCTTGTGATGACGGTCGCAGTTTGCCTCAGAAGAAATTCCAGGGGTTGGTCCCTGGCCCATCAGACCCTGGTCCTTCTTAGAGAGATGAGGATACTGCTGGCCTCCTGGAAGCAGCAAAGACCCAGCCAGGGTTCGTCTCGGCAAGCCACCACTCCTCAGTGCTCACCCCCAGTTGCATAATGATGTGATTGCTTTGTTTCCCTCCAGAATCCAACTCCAGGGGCAAGTGCCAAGTTTCAGCCCTGTTGATAAGATGTTTCCATCAGCCGAAACACTGCCGGAGTGCTTGACACGCCAAGTAACCTGCCAATCCCTGCTTGTAGGGCTAACAAAATACCTGGCTCATTGCCTGCGAGGTGAACGGACAGATCCCATTCACAAATAATGGGATTCATCTGGAACGCCCACACATGGCCTCACCCAATGGAATGTCCCTCTCTACCCTTTCCTTTCTCCTCCTTCCACTCCCACCTTCCAGACCACAGGAGAAGCGGAAGAGGGGCTCCCAAGAGGTGGTGATCTAGGGATCGGAGAGGCAGGGCAAGCAGGTGCTGCCCAGCTGACCACACTCCAGGCTCAAGGAGCACCCACCTCTGCCCCTGTGTCTCCCCTTCCACAAAATGCTCAAAGAGGGCCACTTCAAGGGGTCGCCGAGGCAGGAGAGCGAGTTCCCATCTGGCCTCCTCTCCAAGCCTTGGAATCCAGTGGGGGAGCAGTTGGCAGCCCAGGGACAAGACAGAGGCCAAGCAGTGACGTACGTTCTGTTGGCCAGCCTGGGTGGAAGGGACAGCAGGTGAGATCCTAAGCACGTGGGTCCGCTTAGGCCCACGGGAGTCTCTCAAGCCCCAGTCAGGAGGGAATGAACCCTTCAGGGCTGTCCAGGCAGACACCAGGAAGCCAAGCCCTGGAAAACCTAATGAGAGCATGGTGGACCTCAGAGACAGGCACACCCGGGCTGGCCTCCTGGTTTCAATAGCTGTGTGACCTTCGACGAGCTCATTTGCATGACCTTCCTCATTCAGGAAATGGAATTGCAGCACCTTCTTCATAAAGTTACTGTGAGAATTCTTTGAGGTAATGTGGCAGAGTAACTGTTGTTAGGAGTGATTATCGCAGCAAAGTTTTCAGCGTTAACAATTCCCACCCTGAAGAGTAGAGTTACCCCAACAGGCAGCAGGAAAATGCTCAGCTGGATTCTAAGAGGGAACTCTACTAAGCTTGAGCGCTCAGAACTTTGTTTCTGGGCTGAGGCCAGGGATGGGTAGGGGTGGTGGGCAGGGAGACAGTGTCAGGTTGAAGGCAGAATAAGCCATGCCGTCCAGTAGAACTTTCTATCTGCACATTCCAGTACAGTAGCCACGAGCCATATATGACTATTGACACACTTGAAATGCACTATAAATTTAGGGTTTTGGGTTTTAATGAATTTGGATGTAGGTCATCCCATGAAGCTGGTCTGAATGTTAGATGCACAGGTTCGGAGCAAGGCAGGTCTGGTTTCAAAGGCCGCTGTTCATGCATCAGCTTTGTGACCCTCGGCAGGTTCTTGAGCCTGTTTTCTCACATGCAAAATGAAGAGAGTAACGCGGAGGCCTCAGGGGTATCGTGAGGCTTTGGTAAGAATCTGATGCTCAGCCCCATAAAAAGAGGTAATGGCAGCGGACAAGCCAGGCAAACGGCCCCGAGACTTAACCCTTCACTCTGCCTCTTGTCTCCTCCTTCCTGACAGAACCACATCCTCACATTAATGTCTGTGGCAGCCCGAATCTACAAGCACCCCAGCATCAAGAATTCCATCAACCTGATGGTGGTAAAAGTGCTGATTGTAGAAGATGAAAAATGGGGCCCAGAGGTGTCCGACAACGGGGGGCTTACACTGCGCAACTTCTGCAACTGGCAGCGGCGTTTCAACCAGCCCAGCGACCGCCACCCGGAGCACTACGACACGGCCATCCTGCTCACCAGACAGGTCCGTGCCTGGCTCCGGAAGCCCTGGGGAGGAAGGGAGACGGGATGGGCAGATCAAAGGGAGGACCACGAGGCCTGCCCAAACATGGGAAACGTCTCCCTGCTGGCCCCAGCTGGACGCCAGAGCCTCATGCCCGGAATGACGAGGAGGAGGTCATGAGGACAAGTGTGAGGTATTTGCAAGGGAAGGAGAAGAATCTTGTAAGGGCTGTCTTCCAAAAGTTTGTGACCAGCTGTCTCCTGAGGTCACACATAACAAGAAGAAATGGGCTCGAGCTGCCGAGTGAGAGATCTGGGTTTGGAATGAAGAGAGTAGTTCTAGCTGCAGTGGTTGTAAAACATGGGGCAGGTAGCCAGGGGGTCCCCTCAAGATTTGCCCACAGCGGGAGGGCTGCCCACCTACATGGCGTGATTTAAACAGACAGCTTCCTGAAAGCAAGAGAGTGATCATGTGTGCCAGGCCCTGTCTGCTCCTTCAGTCTCATAACGGCCCCACCGGGCAGGTCCTGGTGTTATCCCCATTTTGTAACAGAGGAAACTGAGGCGCAGAGTGGCCGCACAGCTCTCTTGCCACATAGTGGCAGTGCCCATACACCAGCCAAGACAGTGCTGCTGTAGGGTCATGTTCTGAACGACCATGCTGTCCTGTCCCCCACAAAAAGCCTCTGAAGTCCCAGCCAGCCTCAGGATGCAGCCAGCCTGGAACATAGAACAGGCTCCCTCACATGAGTGGCTGATGTGAAGACAGACGGAGATTTCCTGATCTTGTCACTCAGAAATCCATCTTGATAACCTATGTATTTTATATTCTTTTTTGTTTTTAATTTTGTTTTGTTTTGTTTGAGACAAGGTCTCGCTCTGTCACCCAGGCTGGAGTGCAGTGGCACAATCACAGCTCACTGCAGCCTCTGCCTGCTAGGTCCAAATGATCCTTCCACCTCAGCCTCCTGAGTAGCTGGGACCACAAGCACAAGCCACCTCACCTGGCTAATTTTTTTTTTTTTTTACTTTGTGTAGAGACAGGTTCTCATTATATTGCCCAGGCTTGTCTCCAACTCCTGGACTCAAGCAATCCACCTGCCTTGGCCTCTCAAAATGCAAAGATTACAGGCTTTAACAAAACAAAATTTCACAGGTTACTCTCCAATTTAGAAAGATAGGGGGTGGGTGGGTGAACTGTCTTGACCATAAACACAAAAAGAACCAATAAAGCAAGGCCACTAGGTGGGGTATCCAGACACGCTGAACCTGCTGTTGCTTCCCCCTCCTTAAAAAAGTTCAGCCGGGCACATGGCAAGCACCTGTAGTCCCAGCTACTTGGGAGGCTGAGGTGAGAGAATCGCTGGTGCCCAGGAGTTTGAGGCTAAGTGAGCTACAATTACTCCTGTGAATAGCCACTGCATTCCAGCCTGGAAAACATAGCCAGACCTCGTCTCTAAAATTTAATTTAGGCTGGGCGTGGTGGCTCACGCCTGTAATCCCCGCACTTTGGGAGGCCAAAGAGGCCAGATGGCCTGAGGTCAGGAATTTGAGACCAGCCTGGACAACATGGTAAAACCCCATCACTACTAAAAATACAAAAATTAGCCAGGTGTGATGGTGCACACTTGTAGTCCCAGCTACTCGGGAGGCTAAGGTAAGAGAATAGCCTCAACCCTGGAAGCAGAGGTTGCAGTGAGCTGAGATCATGCCACTGCACTTCAGCCTAGGCAACAGAGCAAGACTCCATCTCAAAAAATAATAATAATAATTTCATTTAATTTAAAAGCTCAATAAACACAGGTGATGCACAGGCCAGCAAGCACGTTATGGGATGCTCCGTGGTCCACTCCCACGTGCACACTGGCCATCCCTGGCCCCGGAGGCCTGCAGCACACCACACACACACACACACACACACACTGATGCACTCTCTTGCTCTCTCCCCACCAAGCAGAACTTCTGTGGGCAGGAGGGGCTGTGTGACACCCTGGGTGTGGCAGACATCGGGACCATTTGTGACCCCAACAAAAGCTGCTCCGTGATCGAGGATGAGGGGCTCCAGGCGGCCCACACCCTGGCCCATGAACTAGGTAAGATTTGCCTTGCCAAAGCCCACTTCACCACATCAGCAGGAACTGCTCTTCCAGATCCAAGGTTGCGTAGATCCTAAGGAATATGCAGCTATCCCTCGCTTAGGAATAGCTCCTCGTGGTTTTGACAGGGTGGCTGTATACAAACAGATACCGCGCTTGACGGTGCTGAACACAACTCCACTCCCACCCCAAGCACGTGGCCAAATACCTGATGATCGCAGGTCACCCGATGAATGCCAGGACACCAGACGGGTGCTGGGGTGGAGGGTGGCGCTGTGCACAAGCTAAGCCGTAGGATCTGGGGAAGAACATTGGTCCAGGGACTGTCACGTAAGACAGCAAATAATAGAGCTAGATCCAAATTTAGGATGGGCTGAGGCAGAAAATAAAGGGGTATCCGTGTTTCTCAGTCATCTGAGAACACGTCCGGGAAGAGCAAAGCGCAGGGGAAAGCCCAAGGCAGAAATCTTGCGAGGGTGAGGGGTGGCTGCTCCCCTGAGGAGCTCCATCTCTGGCCCTAGCTGGGCCGGGTGGGGCGCCCTCGGGCAGGACAGGGCAGAGTGGACCAGGCCTCTCTTCCCAGGGCACGTCCTCAGCATGCCGCACGACGACTCCAAGCCCTGCACGCGGCTCTTCGGGCCCATGGGCAAGCACCACATGATGGCGCCGCTGTTCGTCCACCTGAACCAGACGCTGCCCTGGTCCCCCTGCAGCGCCATGTACCTCACGGAGCTCCTGGACGGCGGGCACGGTAGGCACCGGCGACCCCGCCCTGCTTGTCCCCGTGGGCCTCCTTCCACTGCTGCTGACACAGGGACCCCCTCCAGCAGTGCCTCCTCACAGGGCCCTTGGAGCTGAGTCCTGGCCAGCCTCCCATGCTGGGGCATTCACACCACCCCGGAAGTCTGCTCTTCCCGGCCCCAGCTTCCAGCAGCAGTTCTGGGCTAATTTAGATGAGTCACAAAGCAGGGGGAAGTCATCTGAGAAGGTTGTCTGAAGGAGGAGGGTTGGAGCAGCGCTTGAAGGAATAGAAGCACACAGCACAGAGGAGAGACGAACCTACAACAGCTCAGGCATGGCAGAGGCAGTGACTGCGTCCTGTGAGAGCAAGAGGGCGGGGGACTGGCTCAAAGGACTGGAGCCAGGCGTGGGGCGTGCGCTTGTGGTCCCAGATACTCGGGAGGCTGAGGCAGGAGGATCACTTGAGCCTAGGAGATCAAGGCTGCCAGTAAGCCGTGATCACGCCACTGACTCCAGCCTGGGTGACCGAAAGAGACGCCATCTCTTGAAAGAAAGAAAGAGAGAGAGAGAGAGAAAGAGAGAGAGAGAAGGAGAGAAGGA